CTACGTCAGACGTGCGCGAAATCTATCGATAATATCGGTATCTCCATCGAACAAACAACTACGCTTTGATTTCGGTTCCAAACGGAATGTGGCCAAATCTGTTTGCGAGTCGAAAGAATCGCGCCGCGAATAATGCGCGTCGGAGTGGCGCGATTTCCACGACGAGATTGCACAACAGAATTCGACGTGTTTGCGCCGCGTTATCATGAGCTTTTGTCGCGAGGCGCGCAGTGCCGTCGGAAAAGTCGCGAGCACTGATCTGCATTGATCGATGGAGATCAATATTATTTTGTCAGTTGACGCGAGCGTGACGCGCGCGTTGCTCAAGGCTGAGCCGCCTTTGAACGCCGACGCGCTCCCAGCGATGCTCGCGCTCGCGGATCTCTACACCCTTTCGATCTTCGTCGAAAGTTTATTAAATTACTAGAAATATTCTATTTATTTTTGTGAGATATAGACGACACTTCTTTGAACTAACTCAACGAGGAATCTATTCACGTATCGACGGATTACTCGAGACTTATTAAATACGAAACTTTACAGTTTTGATGCACCTTTGGAGTGCAAGGGGTTAAACATTCGATTAACCCCTTCATATCTGATTTTTCTAGATTATGTTCACATGTTTAACAACGCACTATTTAATGCATCGACGACCTTGTTTCGAATGAGATAATACTACTTTTCTGATAGAAATAGGCTGACGCAAAGGTACATACGTTCGTCGCAATTTTAACACTAGAACTACCGTCCCAGTCAAAACGACTGGTTTCGATTCTTTTGTTTAGCAGTTATTGATATCTTCGAAGCATTGAATATTCGAAATGGTCTTGAAAATAAATAGCTTCATTTGAGTACTATAACGAATGTCTGAGGAAACTGAAAATCTATTACAATTTTTATAGGAATTGCATATTAATCGTATTAAATGCTCGGTAGTTCTAGTGTTATCCCTTACTCACTGTGCCCAATGGCTTGCACATGGTGGCAGAAATCATTTTATCATTTCCATCACTGTCATCGTTGTAATATTTACAATTAACGCGTTAAGCATCGTGCTGGGTAACTTCTGCGCACTCCTTTCCGCTTGTTATCTATGTTATCTATTTTCTGGCGGTAAGTGAACTTGAAACGCTTCCGGTTAATATTTCATCGGGTATCGAAGTAGTAAAACTGTACGCTATAATTTGCGGAGTCCGACGGTGTTCACCTTACGATTCCGATCACCGATTGCATAATTCAATAATTATCCCCGTATCTGTAGATTCAAAGGTAACATTTCAACGACTCCCAAATATTCTTGAATAAATAAATAGAGCGTCATTAAAGGGAACGAGGGTTGCACGGTGCGTTCGTCGCGTAACAGAAATTCTATCATTCCATCAAGCATTCTCCCGTCGCATCACGCTTCTCACTGTCACCTTGTTACCTGTATTACCAATCAAAGAAAGAATAAAGAAGAGCCGGCGAACTTTCCATAAAAAAGAGAACACAGGGGAACGCCAGGAGGATTCACAGCGCCCAGACTCGCCGCGCCGCGAGCGAGATAATCGTCTGCTTTCGTTGCCGAGCGGCTGGTACACATTTTTCCCTCGGTTATCAAGATCTCGCGGGCCGAACTTTCCATGTGAAAGTTCCTGCGCCCGTCTCGCGGGAGAATCCAAAAAATCATTCTAACCGGGAGAAAGAGGGAGCTGATAATTCCCCGAGAAACCGACACCGACGCCGACGCCGCGATTCGAAGAACCGCGAATTTCGAACGGTCCCGAGCCGCGCGCGCGGAGAAAAGAAAGCGACCCTTTCCGTGTCGCGTCCGGCGAAAGTTGCATATCGCCGGACAAACTAGAAGCTGCTAAACCGTTCGCTTTTATTGGTCCCGGCCAGCCTCGCGACGAGACCGCTTGTCGACGCTGCGACTGTCGACAGTTGAAGGAATTTCGCGTCTGCGAAGATTCCGACGGTGTTTTCTTTGGCATCGTGAATGTTTCGTAATTGCATCTGTGTTGTTAACAACAGACCTACCAGACGAATCGAAATGATCCATTTTTACATTTGTATTGTAGTTATTCGAATTCTGGAGAGGATTCTGCGCGAACCGCTCGGTGGATTCAGTGTTGAAAGTTCGGTAGAGGTTCATTATTGAAACTTCAGATAAGAAAGTCGTGATCAATGCAGCTCCTTTGGGTTCTCGATGAAATTATCGATAGAATGACACGTTACAAAGGTATATTAATTATTGATGAAGACACCTTCGAAGCAGCGTCTCTAACAAACCGGTATTCCATACTCAACACTGAAACCGAGCAGTCGAGTCGATTTGTTAAAATCTCCCTATGGAAACTCGAAGAGTGCACCCATCGAGGTTTCTATTAATTTACAATTGAGTTTACCTATCGGTAAATCAACGTCTTCAATTTCTCGTGGAGTCGTCTATTTTCCAATGATCGTCAGAAGAAATCAGGATCATTTCGAGCTGTCCGTTGGATCTAGCGTTGATTTACATTTACATGCAACGTATGCGCTGCCGGATTTCGAATTTTTACACCGAGCTAAAAAGCAGCCTTCGATCTCGCGGAGGTTAAAAAGAGAAGCGGGTTCCCGCCGGTTTCTCCGTTCTCCGAGGCCGAAGAAAGCAAAGAACGAGCCAGCCGTGTCGCGAAGAGTGTGACGCGTTGACATCACGAATCCCGCGGCGAACAGAAGCTCGTTGATTCCGTACGTTCGCGGCGTGCTTTCACTTTTTACGATTTTTCGGATCGATTTCATCCACGCTCTCTCCCTTTTTCCCGCGCTTTTTGCCGCTCCGCCCTCCGCTTCCTCCGAGGACACGCGTTTTCGTTATCCCGCGTCTGGAGCTGCCGAGCGAATCGGTTCGCCGATACGCTTCCTAAAGTACAAAGCAATCGAAAGTTAACAAGGTTAAATAGTCACATTCAGAGCAGAACAGGAAATACTTTTTTCGTCACAATGCTTCAGTGAAATTCATCGCGAACCACGCGTGGCAGCCTTAACACTTAGGCGACCTAAAAAGAACTGTAACTGCCTCCTCCATTATCTCCAATTGAACTCATCCAATTCGGTTAGAAACTGTGTTTTGTAAAAGCGAGAACCGTATTCGATGAATTGCAAATAACTTCAAGACTTACTAAATAACAAAGGAAAAGACAAACGGAATAAAAGGCAGTACGTTGCTAAGTGAAAAGTGGGAAATCTATTAAGTTTCATACTATCAATTCCCAGAGTTCAACGCGTTAACACTGAAACTACCCAGTAACTCAATTGACTTTTCAAAATGTCTCTATAGAAACTGAGTGCTTCTATAGACTCTAATTACCTTACAATTCAGTTTGCGTACTAAGTGAATTTCCCTGAGATTCATCGAGACAATTGATTTACAACTCAGTTCGAGTGTTCTCGAATCGATTTCTTTAATGATGTCTCAGAGAGAAATGCGTTGTCTTTTTAAAGTCACATATCAGTATATTAGCATCTTGTTGATTTATCTCATTTTGCACTCGAAGTGTTGAATAAAATTAAGCAATCAGTTAACATAAATTTTCACACACTCAAGCATGAAAGTTTAACGTCATTGTGTCTTAAAAGTTACGAAATATACTCATTTGATGAAATTATTGAAACCATTGAATACATTATTAATTCGTATTCATACGTGGATATCCATTAATTTTCTACTGCATAGATTTTGTTACAATAATGAACAAAAATTCAGCCCTAAAGGGTTAACAGTCGCGAGAAGGAGACACGATCCGGTAGCTTTAGCGTTAACGAACAAGTTTCCGGAAGTTGCGCGAGTTAAGCGGTTCGATCGCCGTAGTTCTGTCGTTAACGAGCGTCGCGCGCGCCGGCGAGACGCCGTTTTCGAGGAAAAGTCATCGTTCCCGCTGGATTCGTACCAAGCGCACGGTGCGCGCGGCTAGGGCATCGGTTCAAGGCGGAAATATGGCGGTCTCTGGGTCAAGAGCGGCTCGGATCGATGCGACCGTGGGTTTTGTAGTGCATCGGTCGCCGCAGCCGCAGTCGCGGACCTTCGGGTTGCATTTTCTTGAACTCGGACGCACGCCGGCCTCTCGACGACACGTTTCGAAGTTAGAGGATAACGTTTCAACGGAGACGTTCGTCAGAGATCATTCGTGGACGTGCAATTCTGATCGTACAATGTTGTCTGTTCTGTTGACGGTGTTCATGGAGCAACTTTTAACGAGGCTGAGTATGTAATTTAGACACCGTATTTTTCATTTAACGATCGTAGAAGAATCATCGAAGTGTCGAGAGAGTTTCCGAGTAGATTCTTTGTGAATAGAGCCTTGCCTCGTTATTTGTCTCTCGCTGGAACCCGCGGAGTAGCTAACGAAGCAGGCCGATCCGGACGCCGATCTGTTTTCGATATTTTCGTAACGATACCACGAGACAAAGGGTTGATCACGTTTCATAACCCGCGTGAGTCACGGAACCCGATCGCATGACTCACTCGTAGAATCGCAGAACGAATCCTCGAGCGATCACGAATCTTTTCAGAACGTATCGGAACGATTACTGTCAACTTCGTTTAAACGCATGACTCACTGCACGCGAAAGCCGCCGTTAGGCGTACGAGCTCTGAAACGAGAACCCCAAAGAGTCAGGAAAATTCCATAGTACCCTCCCCGAACCAAGGAAACCTTTGATTCCGTGAAATCACACGAGTCTCCCTTACCCAGAGATCGTCGATCGAGGATCACGAGCGAAATCCCCTCCCGTCGGAGACACCGAGAGAAAGTAGCTTTACCGGAAAAAGCAAAAGGGACAGAGATGCATGTGCGTGGTGTGTGGCCAACCCTCTAACACGAACGAACGAACGAACGAACGATCGGAGCAAAGACCGGAAAAAAAGCATATTCGAAAATAAAGAAATCAGTATAACGTAGATCGTGATAGTCTCTCTCTCGCCATGCGGGCTGGACGTTGAAAACTGACTGAACCTTTTTGTGTATGACATAAAGATTGCGTCCTGCGGCCGAAAGTGGAGGTGCTGGACCCTGGAGAGACGGAACTTTACGGATCAAGCAAGGACACCAGCCGAGAGACGCCTTCGTCGACCAAACCGGCGGCCGGGAAGAGCAAGTCCCCGTCATCCCCGTCGTCGTCCTCGTCCTCGTCGTCGTCGTCGTTGTCGACCGGCGCCGGGTCATCGGGTAGCTCGGGCTCACTGGTGAAAGAGGACCGAGCGATCCTGAGCAGGAGACAGCGGAAGAACAGGACTAGAGGGCCCAGGGATCAACGCCGCGAGCGCGACGACGAGGACGAGCAGCCCGAGCAACAACAGCAACAGCGACACCGCAGACACTGTCGGCCGCAGTATTCCAACAGCGCCACAGGAAACGGGGCATCAATCGACGCAGCCTCCGGAGAGGTTAGAACTGCAACAGTGTCCAGAAGGGACGGTTCGCAAAATGATGTACATAAGGACGAGCCGAAGATCGGCGATATCGACGACACCATGGACGTGTCTGGCGCAGACGGCAACGGCACCAGGCTGTCCAGGGTGTTTTATAGCAGCTTGCGCAGGGAGTTGCGTCACTTAAGCGATGCGTCGCTAGCTTCCCTGTTGCGCAGGTACACGTTGACCGGGGAGCAGTTGGCCCATCTAGGCTACCCCATCGAGTGTAGCTACTACCCGGGTTACGTAGTTATACTCAATTATCACCAGCACCCGGTGGCCCATCGGGCCAGAGCCTATCACCATCTGGACGCCAATGCCCGCGAGTTCGTGCCCGGCAACGGTGGCGCGTCCTGGACGACGGTGGAGAGCGAGGCGGACAGCGGCAACTGCAGCAGCAGCAGCAGCTCGGTGGACAGCTCGGATCTCGAGCAAGAGAGCGCCTCGGACAGCGACAAGAACTCGGACATAGGCGAGTCCTCGTCGGCAGATTCCGCTTCTTCGTCCTCGTCCTCTTCGTCCGGCACCGGCTACCAGGAGAAGTCCAGGAGGAACTCGACGCCGGAACCCTACGAGATGATCGTCGCGGAGAGACGGTGCGCCAGGTGCTACAAGAGCTTCTACGTGAACCGCGAGGACGGGCAGTACCTGCACGAGGAGCGGTGCGTGTACCACTGGGGCAAGTTCCGCAGCTGCATGGTGGACGGCGCCCACCACGACACGTGGGAGTGCTGCAGGGACAAGGAGGGCTCCAGAGGGTGCACCACCGCCAGGATGCACGTGTGGACCGGCCTGTTCCCCGGGTACAACGGCCCGTTCGACGGCTACGTGCGGACGCGACCCGCCAGGACCGTGCCCAAGGACGGCAACTACGGTGTGTACGCGTTGGACTGCGAGATGTGCTTCACCAGGCGGGGCCTGGAGCTGGCCAAGGTCACCGTGGTCGAGGTGGACGGCAGGGTGGTGTACGACACCCTGGTCAGGCCCGACGCCGAGGTGATCGACCACAACACCCGGTTCAGCGGGATCACGGCGAGCGACCTGTCGAGGGCGTCGAAGACCCTCAGGGACGTGCAGAAGGACCTGACCAGCTTCGTCCACGCGGAGACGATACTGATCGGCCACGGGCTGGAGAACGACCTCAGGGCGCTCAGGATACTCCATCCGACCGTGGTCGACACGTGCATCACGTTCCCACATTTCCTTGGCTACCCCTTCCGCAGCAGCTTAAAGACACTGGCCAGGACCGTGCTGCGGAGGGACATTCAGGTCACGGAACACGACTCCGTCGAGGACGCGAGGATCGCGCTGGATCTCATGCTGAAGAGGATTCAACATGACCTCTCGTAGAACGGGAGACGGAGAGTGAGTCGAGGGAGGACAAAGAGAGGCCGAGAGAAAGAAGGTACCATGCGCTCGAGAACGTAGACTGTGTAACTGCCGGTCGCATTGGTACGGCGGTCGAGGGAGAGGATGTCCGTCACGGGGTCCCTCGTTGCACCGTTGTCCCGTCGGCGACCCGTTTCTTCTTTTCCTGCCTTCTTCCATTTTGCTAGTTTCCATCGTCTTCTACGCGACGTCTTCTCTCCTCTCTTTGTACCCTCGACGCGGATCAAGGTGCTAACGAGAACGGACACCGGTGATCCGCAGCGCCGCGCAAACTCTCTTCCGTCAGTGTTCAGTTCCAAGTGAAGTCTGTGATACGTTACATATACAGAAAAAGAAACTCACGCGCGCCAGCTCGCTAGCTCGCTCGCACGCACGCACGCTCGCTCGCCCGCTCGCTCGCCCGCCTGCCCGCGCGATCCTCGATTCTCTTCAGGGACGCGCGATCACTCGCACAGATGGACTTTAGACATACGCATCACCCATGTACACATACTCGATCGATCATGAGCTCAGTCTCTCATCGTGTACGCGACGTGTTTCGGTACGCGTGCCGCACGTTGTCGAGGAAATGTTCGGCGTGGTTGTGCCGTGGTGCACGCGGGAACAGAGGACGATTGATTTTTGCCTGGATTCCCCTCGACGCGTTCGATGTCGTTTCGACCTCGATCGCGTTTCGTCGGATCCAACGGACCTGCGTGAAGTATTCGGACGTTGAGAACAGTCATTGAGTTCCTAAACGTAATCTTGTAACAGCAAGCGACTGTGCCTGTGGCATTAATTGCAGTCTCTTAAGGTACACTGACGCTGATAGCTGAGCCGTTAATTCCCGTGTAGTCGACGCATTTTTCCTTCTGAGCCGGTGTTCCCGTTTTCTCTCGCGTCCACCACGCCGCGCACGTCTACTCGAATATTCTTTTTATTCTAGAATCTCTGATATTTTTAGGACCAGACGAAGATGTTTTAGTTTGACGCGATTTCTCTTTTTTTTGTTCCTTCGACGGTGTTTATGTACCTTATTTATAGCATAGTAGCTCGTACGAAAAGTCTGGTGCACGAGGTGTGTCGCCGATGATCCGATCGTGGATGTCAAACGACCCTCGCCCGGGATCCAGTACCGGATGGGTGGCAACAACCCCGCCCACCGCACGCAGGGGGAAAATCTAATAGAATTTTTCTCCCCCTCTCATCTTTCTCCCCCATTTTCTTGGTTTTATTTCTACAGTTTCTTGGTGGCGACGTTGGTCGAGTACTTGGAATATGATATATGTATGAGTGCAAAAGTGTTGTTTGTACACTGAGTTCCACGTGTGTGTATGTGTATAATTAATGATAGTACATGTAGCAATAAACCACGAATCGCGCGTTGTTTTATCTAATCTCTTTCGAGTTGACTCGCGTATGTGCCGAGCCGCGGGAGTACTCGACAGAAAGTATAATTAAAATAAATGGATCATTTTCCAAGTATTCAGACAATCGGGGATGAAAAGTGTTACTTCCAACAAAAACACACTCTCAGCATTCGTCGTGAAGTGCTTCTCGAAGTATTTTCAAGAAAATTCATATCTTTCCCCCCTTTTATCTTAACAATATCCGTTTTCCTTCGACTCCCAAGTTGCGTCCAGCTGGGCTACCGGAACGCTGATGGTAATTGAGGATACTTACCTAACCCGGGTAGTAACTGCACCCGATTGGGTAGCCCAGGTGGACCAATTGTTCCCCGGTCAGCGTGTCCTGCGCAACAGGGAAGCTAGCGACGCATCGCTAAAGTGACGCAGCTCTTTGCGCAGGCTGCTATAAAACACCCTGGACATCCTGGTGCCGTTGCCATCATCTGTGCCAGGCACGTCTATGGTGTCATCATTGTCGTTATCGCCGGTCTCCGGTTCGTCCCGATACACATTATCCTTTGCGACCTGTCCCTTCGAGACGCTGTTGCGTTTCTAGTCTTTGCGGCGGCAGCGTCGGTTGATTACTCCGTTTCTTGTCGTGCTGTTAGAATCCTGCGACAGCATTGTTCGCAAGTGTACAGGAAACAAAAACTCTTCTTACGCTCGCAGAAAGTATTCAAAGAATTCGAAAAGTAGTAATATAAAGTTCCTTCGAAGCACTTCACGAATCCTAAGCGTGTGGAAGTACTTGAGCGCGCGTGTAAAAAAGAAATATAACCCAAGTACTTCGAACCTCTCGAGAGAACCTTGAAGTCTCGAGATCTCGCGCGAAAGTATACTTCGAGTCGTCCTGCCGATCAACGAATCGCCATCATATAAAATGATCTCAGTAAATAAGTTCCAAGTAAATAACGAAGAAACGAAGTAAAGAAAACTGGCATGAGGAAAAACAAAATACGGGGATTCTCCTGTATTCGATTAGGTATAATCCGCGCGACGTTTTCCTCGGCAAGCGCGCTACTGCGCACCCAACACGCGCGTGTAAATGGACTTTCTGCGTGGATCGTGTACCATTGCACCTGTGTGTAATCGAAACACACGCAAATGAGTACAGCTAATGAAACTACGAACGACACGATTCCATTGCCTTATTACATAAAAAAAAACCAATTTAAAAATTGCCGTAATTCAAATGTTCATTCTTTCTCGCGTATCAATACTAATCAGTGAAACGTATCAGTTTATATTTTCCAATATCCTAGTCGTTCGTACACTTTCATTACCTGGACATCCGTGTATACACACGTGCAATAAATATCTGTAATAGAGTATACATTTATGAGTGTATATATATATACATTTCTATATACATATATACATACATACATCTATACGTCTACGTACACTCGAATACGTATGCGCGCATACGTACGCGTCTTTATACCTTTACGACCTTCCTCATGCATATTTCATCCGATGTGGTTTTTTCGTACACGTACAGCGAGAGGAGGACACGCGGCGTCATTGATGCTGGTAAGTGTCTCGATGGCTTCCACGATCATGGCTTGCATTTAAATTCCCCTCGAAAAGCGACGCCTAGAAAATACACACCGCCAAACGAGGACACGCGGATCGAGAAATTATTCGGCTCCGGCCGTGCCCGCGGTCGCGCGCGCGCGTCTCGATTTTCGTTTCGCGCGTGCGTGCGTTCGTTTCTTCCTCTTTTCTGCGCTCGTTCCACCGGCGAGACGCGCCAATTGCCGGGATTAGCTGGATCGTGCGGTGTGTGTACGCTCCGTTTAACGCGCTCCAGCGCTACCGATGGCTTTTTATCTCGCGACCGGCGTCTCGTCCTTTTCGCAGCCCGCGAGCACGTGGCCCCGCAAAGTAGACTCTGTTTATTGGAGGAATTAACGGGCCGACTGCTGCATGAATCTTCGCGTATCGCTCTCTCGCAGCGGAGATAAATAGAAACGATTAGTAACGATCAGGGATCCTCGTCGAAGCGAACCAAGTCGATTAACCCCTCTCGGCCGATTGTACATTGTACATCCGCGAAATTAACCCCTTGGCGTACTATTTACTTTCGTTACTAAGCTTGTAATATTTTACTATCGACAATTTGTAAGAAATACAACAAAATTTTCCATTCTACTTCAGCTGGAAATTTCATTTGAAGGTAATACGTTGATAATTGCAAAATAGTTTGCTTTGATCCGTGGGTAATGAACAACATTGATTCTTGTCAAATTAGCTTAGAAATCTTCATTGTACGACAGGGGTTGAACTACGTTTCGTTGTACCGTTAATTCACCCTTTGCACTCGAAAGTTCACTAGCAACCTTCAACGTTTCCTTACGAGACAAGATTTTTGAAACTTCTCGATAAACAGGATAAACCAAGATATTTTCAGTATTCAACTGCATTATGTAATTTAACGTTAAACATCCAGCTATACAACTTTGCTACATTAAATGCTGACTTGGAGTCACCTCGAGTGCAAAGGGTTAATCATTCCCGAGTAATCGAAAGAATTGCGAGCGCGGCGTTTCGACTGGTTTATCGTCTCGATACGTGTGCAGCAGTCGGTTCCCTTATCGATTCCTCCTCGGTTCTGTTTCCTTTTGTTCCCGCGAAACGTTTCCGAACCGACGCGGATCGGGACCGATAAATCCGTGTACGGATGGATCTCGCCGAGCCCCGTACGTGTTCCGCCGTGTAAATCATCGACGAACGTGGACAAGGCCTGAGAACCGCGCGTCCGATTTCGGCTCACGCTTCGATCGCTCCGAGGCGGATAATGATTCTGTACGCGTCATCGCCGACATTAGCGTGTCCACGGGGACCCTCGCTGCGTGCCCGTTTCCACTAACCGAGCGTCGATTATTTTCCACTCGTTTTTTTTTCTCATTGAATATTACTTCTTTCCATTCGAGTAAAAATCGCCGAAGCTCATTACACCGCGGCGGTTTAATTAGCGATGTTTTTAAAGCGGCTGACAGAACACTGCCCTGTTTTCATTTTTTCGCTGGAGACTGTAGTCGGACGTCGAGTATTCTTTACAGACTGACCGCACGACGCTGACGTGTTTTATTATTTGATACCGAAACTGCTAGAATTTCGTACCCTCGAACGCGTTGAAAGTCATTGAACGATCGATCGATAGAAGAGACGGATTAGATGTTCACCTCGAATCATCCCCGCGTAACACCGAAACCCACGAACGAGGTTTGTCGCAGTATAATCTCCGACCTCGAATTCGCTCGCACAATTTCGACAGATTTTCATTGTTTCGCCGTGCATCGTCGGCGGTTAGCGTTGCAGGAAGAAAAACGAGCGCGCCGGAACGGTAGAAAAGTAAACACGCGTCCGATTTCGAGACGACAAAGAGAGGACAGAATGAAAAGAGGAAGGAAACCCGGGTCGTCGATCGTGCGATTCCGCGAACACGGGGTTCATTGACGCGCTCACGCGTGCACACGCGACTCATGTCAAACAGAAGCCAGCTGTTACGAGAGTGAGTGAGTGAGAGAGAGAGAGTGAAAGAGAAAGAGAGAGAGAGAGAAAGGAAAAAAAAGAAAAACAAAAGTAATACGCCACGTATGTTCACGCAAAACACACATCGCATCCATACACACGACACACGAGAGATATTCATCGCTTTGTAAATAGCATAATATTTATTCAAACGCATCGCGAGACAAAGTACCTGTGCATTCTTCTCGAGGGACGTTCCTCCATGTTTTTCGAGCGACTCGAACGGTTTGAGCTCGCGAGGATTCGTTCACGACCGATCATCAACCCATAACTGTAACGATTCACCACCCTCCGCCCCCC